TCTCTCTCTCTCTCTCTCTCTCTCTCTCTCTCTTTCTCTCTCTCACCCCCTCTCTTTCTTCCTCTCTCTCGCTCTCTCTCTCTCTGCAATAAAAAAAATGTTTGCTGAAATGATGTGTACGCAACTGCGTATCTGCATATCTGCGCCTAACAAAGGTGTCACTACGCACGACTGAAATGTTACGTTTATAACCGTAGCAACAGACCTCAGATGAGCCCAGTCGCTCTGCGGCACTTGTTTAGTATAAAGCTACTTCTGTTCTAGCCTGTCCAAGGATTTAAACTCGTTGTTATTGTATACTCGTTAAATTATGCAGACTTTGATGTCTATGAGCTGCCTCATGTGCTGTATGCATATTGCCATATATAGACCAGTCTGACGTGCTGTTCCTCAGAGTGTAGTGTTGCACTGAGTTCTTATTACCTCCTCCCACGGAGTGGAGGAGGTTATGTGATCGCTCTCGTGTAGTGTGTTAGTGAGTTAGTGTGTCCGTGTGATCGATATTAGCGCGTCAGCGAGCGAGCCAGCCGGCGCAGCGCGTGTGTACATGTCAGCGAGCAGCAGCAACGAGCGGCTGCTACGAGCTCTGTCGCTGGCGGAGGTATGCACTCTCTGTGAGTGCCTTCTGTCTAGTTTTCTGTCTGTTTTAGGGCTTTGCCTTCATAACGTTCCACCGTCGCGAGGATGCTGCCAGAGCTATTGCTGGAGTTTCAGGCTTCGGTTATGATCATTTGATCTTGAATGTTGAATGGGCAAAGTAAGATTCTAATCTACACATTTGTTGTTTTCATTTTTTGATAGAATATGACAATAAGTTCATGTATCATCATGTGAATTTTCTCATCACGTGATAGACTTTGTTTCACACAATTTAAACTGTGATTAATCTAAATGGTGAAGTGACATTGTTATATTTTCAAATTCTAATGTAATATTTAATTATGGTTTATTTTTCTATTTGCAGACCTTCAACTCAGTAACAAGTATGGAAACAGCTCGCAGGAATAATCGGGAGGGATCACTTGACTGGATAATCCGAAAAACCTTTCAGAAATTTTTATTAAACCTTAAAAACCATGGTATCATTCTCTATACACATAAAGATGAATTTCAGTTACAAAAAATAAATTTGTTTTTCCGAAGTTCTGTTGCAAGTTTTATCTTGTGTTTCTGAAAGTTGTGTGGCCAGAATTGAAAGGACATATCGGCATTTAGGTCCTTCAGGCACTGTCAGTCTGGCATTTAAAGTGCTGCAGGTATATGTAAGTTTCGTAGTACCTTACTTTAAAAAAATATTGGTCTGTGCGTGCGTGTGTTCGAAGCACTGCCCAAAAATAAAGTAACATATTCTGTGAGCTGGCTGCTATGCAAGAAATGATAAACAAGCATCGACAATCATTTGGGGCAAACTTATGGCTGAGAGCAGCTAGATTCCAGTTCTGGAATTAGGCAATTGAGTTGCATATACTTGTACATCGTATCAGGAGTCTATCAATAGTCTGATAAGTGAATAAATAGTCTATTAAGAGTCTATTGATAGACTCCTGATCGTATAATCGGCATGCAGTATTTATGTGTGGATTGCAATCGGCAGCAAATTGTTGAAAACATAAGCAAATTAAAATAATGGGGGGAAAATATTACAACCTTTATTAATTTCAAGAGGTAAATATGTGCTCTTCATATTAAGCCAAATATATAATATGTACATAAAAACCTTTGAGCGAACAATGACATGTAGTTTGAACAATGTAAAACAATTGTTAATCAACTATTCCTGCTTAATTCAATACGAACTAGAGCACTCGGAGAGCACAGACCTCTGCCAAGCCAACTGAATTCTGTCACTGTGAAAAATTTTATTAATTAATTGGATCCGGATGACGAGCAAAATGTAATCAATTCTAAGTTACCCGATTTCTGACGTATCCTGAAAATTTTATTAATTAATTAATTAATTGGATCCGGATCACCACCAAAATGTAATCAATTCTAAGTTACCCCATTTCTGACCTATCCTGGAAATTTAATTAATTGGATCCGGATCACCACCAAAATGTAATCAATTCTAAGTTACCCCATTTCTGACCTATCCTGGAAATTTAATTAATTGGATCCGGATCACCACCAAAATGTAATCAATTCTAAGTTACCCCATTTCTGACCTATCCTGGAAATTTAATTAATTGGATCCGGATCACCACCAAAATGTCATCAATTCTAAGTTACCCCATTTCTGACCTATCCTAAAAATTTAATTAATTGGATCCGGATCACCACCAAAATCTCATCAATTCTAAGTTACCCCATTTCTGACCTATCCTGAAAATTTAATTAATTGGATCCGGATCACCACCAAAATGTAATCAATTCTAAGTTACCCCATTTCTGACCTATCATAAAAATTTAATTAATTGGATCCGGATCACCACCAAAATCGCATCAATTCTAAGTTACCCCATTTCTGACCTATCCTGTAAATTTTATTAA